ACAAGCGAAACGAAGGACCCGCATGGTGTGGTGGTGAACGCGTTACTCCCCGGAAAGGACAATAGCGCGTTCGTTCCCCACCATAGACACCTGCGGTCCAAAGTTTTGCAAATATCTCAGCAACGTTGTGGTTGTATTTCGCTTAGTACCCTGCCGCGAAATTATAGTAGGCAGAAAATAAAAAGGTATAACATTGTGATTACGACTGTGTTTGGAAGAAAAACGAAAAATTGTCAGACAAAAAGAAGAATAAAGAAAAAGTACTTTAACAACTTTCTGTTGCTGTTTGAACAGTGAATTTCATCGGAAAATCCAATAAAATCTTTTAGTTCGATCTTGTTTCAGACATTTGTAACGATTCTGAATGTAGAATCTTTCTCTTTCAAGAACATTTGCTGAACTATCTGTAATATACAACCATAATGAAACTGAGACGTGAGCAAAACTTGGAAAGACCAGGCAAGCTTGGAACCCGCGATAACCCTCTCTGGAGTCCTAGGTTGTCCTGTGCACCATCGAACCCCTTGCTTCGCCTTTTTCTTACTATAACAATGCTATCAGCAATCATCGGTCGACAGGAATGCTCTGGAGAGCACGAATCGGCATTGTACCCAGTTAAGCTGAAGCTCCAGAAGAAATAACATTTGACTTTTATTTGATTTATTTGATGACTATTATGCCTAAAAATATTTGCTCACATCTCAGCATCACTGGGAGCGTATTTCACATAAAACTCTGCCATGAAGAAAACAGTGCTGATTGGTGCTCCACAGATCGCTCCCGTTGACGGATGATTGCTGGTTGCAAGTACCGTTAGGGTAAGAAACTGGCTGAGAGAAAGGCAAAACAAGGGCCTCGATTATGGATTAAATAACATGTGAGCCATTTGAAAAGTGCCACTGACTTTTGAAGAAAGGCAAAAATACATGGGTTCTTTAGCCTATCATACAGATCTTCATGTACATATATAAACAGGTAAACAGTACACCAAAAACTCTTGCGGAAAACTGGAAATAAAAAACATACTTCTTGCTGAAGGCGTAACTCATTTTCCTTTTTGAGGTCCTCATTAGCCGCTTCAATACCTTTGCGTATGAGTTCTGCTAAGCTATCCAGATACTGAAATAATTTTTCTCTTTTCCTCCAATTATTGCTTATCAGTCATTCTACACTGTATCTTCTATAAGCAAACCTATATTTGCTAGTTTTCTGCCTTTTATAAATACACTGAAAAAAGGAATCCTTTGTGGGTGACCAAAATTGAGGAAGACAAAACCCCTCCAAGGACAAAGCTACGATGGGCGAGTTGGCCATACGACAAAGATTAAACGTGTTTACAGCTTTCATATGGTTTTGTTTGTAGTAATATGATACAAAGTTGGCCAGAGTTAGTGAATTATAAACACATGTCATTGAAGATTAAATTTGTTTTGTCGAGTGTTTCTAGATATAGTAAGTGCTACAGGGAAACCTTGCCGGAAGCACGGTACCCTAGTAATGGAGCGATTTGAGAAACTCGGCCGTATGACACTGTTCTCATGGAAGTGGTGGTAACATTAGAAAAGAAATACTTGATATTTCATGTTGAACTATTTGTCAAATGATAAACATCCCTACCTGCTGGTTGGTTTCGATTTCAGCTCCCTTTTCAGAAACCATTTTCAGTAAATCGGGTAGATCTTTAGCGTCGGACAGCATCCCAAACTTCACACAAGCTAACTAAAACATTAAGCACTAAAAAATTCTATCAGTGTAAATGTTCTACATTAGCCCCCCAACGGTTTACCGCCTCATCGTGGCTGGGAGGTGTTCCTGAGTGTCGGGCTGCGATGTACAGTGGGGGTATTCATTCCCTGGAAGGGTCTCCCAAGCTGAGGAGTTCGACGTTTCCATCAAGAAGCTGAGCTACGAGTAAACTAATATCACGATCAGTCACCGCCCTGGTAACAAACTAGTCGCATGGTGGTAAATCTCACTCTGATCCACAAGGACGGCGACTGCCTGTGGTGGTGACGACCTGGGACCGACTTTGGCCTGGCTGACCTCGGGTGTAACCCTACTGTTTTTTTAGGCATTCAAGTTTTTTTAAAAGGTGTTCTAGAATAGATCTAATCGCAGGAGAACAAACTTCCTATTTATCCACAAAGGCGTGGATTGCCTATTATAACGAACTGAAACCGCTTTGAAAAGGCTTTCTTGGGCTTAACAAAAACTTCCTTAGTCATTGAAATAGCAATCAACCGAAAATTGTGTGAGGGTCGTATGATTGGCGAAGGTGGATCAACCAAACCGAACATTTGTAATCCAGTAAAGCATAAAGTATTATGATCTCTAGGCAGTTGACTCACAACACTGACTCCTACCACGTTTTTGCTTCTTGAAGTGGGTAAGAAGAAGGCTTATTAAAAAAGCCAATAAAACTTGCACTATCGCTTTCTCCAGTAGAAAAAGCTGAGTCGACAGAACGTAACTGATGGACGAGTTCCAAATTGATGTGAGAGATCTGCGTAATCGCTATTAAAATTTCGATTAACATGACTTGAAATGAGGTCCTTAAAGATTGTAGAAATAAACCAATTTGTATATGGAAATACAAGCGATTTCTTATCAATGCACTAGTTTTTACCTGTTGCTTTTCTTTTTCATTCCACTCTGACTGCGCCTTAGTTTTGACGATTGAAGGAATGTAGCTGGAATTTATTTACCTGACATATAGGACCCTCCTATAAACAGATATCTAAGATAAAATTTGTAAAAATACTTACCAAACAGCACCAACTCCAGCCCATTTACGTAAAGGGACAATAGTAAGAGACGGATAGTCACCCTTTAGCTTCTCGAAATTCGATCTGGCCACTACAGTGGAGTCAACGATTTTCAGCACGCTACCAAGAAGTCTAATGAATTGTTGCATATGATCCACTTGCGATGAGAGAGCTGCAAACAATACACTGATTACAATGTTCACCTTTTATTTGCTGCTTACTATAACTTTTCAGGGCAGGGTATGATGCCAAATACACCAACAATGAGGCTGAGATAAAAAATTTAGACCCCGAGCCAGATCGAACCACGATTTCCTTTTCTGGAGTTCATGTATTACAAACTGCACAACGGAGACTCTTGCGCTGCTTTTTCTCGGCTAGTTTTCTACCTAAAGCTACCATCAACAATCACCCGTAAGTGTGATATCGGGTTTGCGAATATCTCTGCATCGCTGTAGTACACTCATTACTTAAATTGTAAAAGACCAATGGACGTTTTCTAGCGTGATACATTTAGACGTTGCGTAAACATCAAAAAAAAGTCTAAGACATCGCATCTGTAGACAACCATTATATGTGAAATAATTTATGTTCAACGTTCTTATCTCATTCAATAAGTAATGGCGGAATTATAGACGTCAGTCTACAGTAGGAATTCATAGAAATCTCTTCGAAACTGTCTGCTACGATTTTAACGATTTTTGAACATGAAAGAGCAAAACCGGTGAACGAAGTGAAAAAGGTCGACAAACAAATGCCATGTAACCACATCCCTAATCCGAAGATACTGCCAAGGAAGCAGTCATGATTATTGGAATTACATCCCCTGTATTACAAAGCGTTCGGTACCCGTTGCGTAACTCTTGAATCAGAACAACCAAGCCAATTACGTGTCAAAAACAAAATAAAACATGTCTGAAACTTGTCAACTACGACCAGAATTTCATACACGTTTCCCGCAAGTGTAAGTACTTCTTTTTGTGTGTAACAGTATCATTATTCCTACCGTAAAGCGTATTTCTGATATAAGCAATTTTAGTTGTCTTTTCTTCTAAATGGAAAATTTATGTCAGAAATATTATTTACCAGCCGCATGTTCAAGTGGACAAAAGCGAAACGCTGTGCCATAGCTTCCTCCAAGTTCGATCATATGAATTCCCAATGATTGACATTCTGCCACAACACTTTGACCAAGCTATAAATAGTGAACGTCATTAGCAGATATAGTGCAAAGATATTCTGGTACATGTTTGAATAATGATGACGATGATAATGAACTAACTGACCCAAGAGTTTAACGAGTCTGCGTATTCACATTCATTGTGCAGAACTTCTTCTGCATCGGCAATGACCTTTTGGTCCAGCTCGCTCTCCGTTCTTTGCTTCAGTTCACGAACCATCTAGGATAATCAAGATCACTCCAAAAAACAGATGTAAGACAGAGAAAAAATGCAATAAAAGCGTCATACTAGAGTGAGAAGACATAGAGAGCGGAATTATTCCGAAAAGCGCACAAATATTCTTGTGAATTCTGAAAAGCAACAGCATGTAGACATCAAGTAATCGGCATACAAACCTTGGCCGCGTCTCTTACAGCCGCATAACGATACTTGAAAATGAGAACTGTCGGGGCAGTGTACTGATTTTTGTACACTTTCGAAGCGAACTCAATAGCATTATCCATCCCGACCACTTCTATTTGCGGAAAAGTAGACAGCCCTTTTAGCATCACTTTACACTAAACAGAAAAGATTGGATCCAAATAATTAACTTTCAAATCGTTCCGACACCTTACCAACATGTAGGCGTTTTCGATAACATCGGTAATTCCTTTGCTAGTCAGCGTTTGGCTAACCACCCACCACGGTAAAATATCAAGTTTCTCACGATATGACGGTTTGTGGCCCTCAACCGTTCTGTATAGTGTCTGAAAATTGAAGAGTACTGTAATATAGTTAGTTTTAAAACCCTTCTTGTAAAGAAAAGAAAGCAAATGCCGGCAAAATCTGCATAGTAATTACCACGACAGGTGCAGCTGGAACTCCTAACCACAATGCAAGTGGGAGCGTAAGACTATCGACCTGAGTGAGCACATGGACCAGAACTTCTGTAGGTTCACGAAGTGTCAATGCAGCCACTGCCTAGATTGCTTTCCCGTTTAAAGCAAAGTATTTAAAATGGCCTTTGTTTGTTAGAATTAGCAAATTTTGTTAGCTGAAATCAAAACATGTATCGAAAACTACATAAATATACGAAACTGAGAAAAACAAAACGAAAAGTTTTTGGGACTTTGATACAAAATTCACAGCTTTAAAACCATAGAATGAAATTTTTAAAGGAGGTAAGAGTATGGCGTTAATCAAAATCGTCCGTGAAAACACTTGTAACTCTGAAAAGTGGCAAGCGTAATTGACTTCAGAGTTGTACTCCAAAGTGAAAACCGTCAACGGAAAAATCAGCAATGTGAACTTTAAGAAAAAAATAGTATCTGGAAGTTAATGGAATTATTGGAGGCTAAAGACAAGTGAAAGACATTTCATAAGAATTTATGCAGAAACTTTTCAAAAAACCACACAGTGAAAAACTACAAGATGAACTCAACTAACCAACTCTATGAATGCTTTCTTACTTGTATACTTGAACGGCTTGCTCTCTCTGGTTGTGTTCGAATCAACATAATCTTTATTATTTCGGAGTTTTGCTGTTTTAGCCACTGGAGCTCCCTGGAGTCCCGAGGTCTGCCGGGTCAAAGTCTGCCCTCACATCGTCACCACCACAGGCAATCGCTTCCGCTGTGGATCAGGAGGGATTTACCACCATGCGGCTAGTTAGATACCAGGACGGTTTTGGTCCTGGTATTGGCTTACTTTTAGCTGGGCTTCCTAATAGAAAAGCTGGACTCCTCAGGTAGCGAAGCAATTCCGGGCAAGAATACCCCCTGTACATTATTCCAATGCCCGGGAACACCTCCCAGCCACGATGAGGCACTAAACTGTTAGGAGGCTATGAATAGTAACCACAACGTTGCTGAGATATTTGCAAAACTCTGGACCGCAGGTGTCTATGGTGGGGAACGAACGCGCTATTATCTTTTCCGGGGAGTAACGCGTTCACCACCACACCATGCGGGTCCTTTGTTTCGCACGTCTCTCAGCTATTTTTATCGATCTTTTTGCCACACTTGCGGTCCAGAGTTTTGCAAATATCTCAGCAACGTTGTGGTTGTATTTCGCTTAGTAACCTGCCATGAAAATTATAGAAGGCAGAAAACAAAACGTTAAGCATTGTGATTTCAACTACAGCCATAGCTTAACTGGGTTCTATGCCGATTTGCGCTCCCCAGATCAACCCCGCTGACGGGTGATTGCTGTGGCAAAAAGATCGATAGAAATAGCTAAGAGACGTGCGAAACAAAGGACCCGCATGGTGTGGTGGTGAACGCGTTACTCCCCGGAAAGGATAATAGCGCGTTCGTTCCCCACCATAGACACCTGCGGTCCAGAGTTTTGCAAATATCTCAGCAACGTTTTGGTTGTACTTCGCTTAGTAACCTGCTATGAATAGTATTCAGAACAAATAGAAAATACCAATATATCTCTCAAGGATCTCCAGTCACTCATATATCTTAGCAGATTTGTAAAATGCAACCAATATATTACAGCTGTGGTGTAAAAACTGAATAATAAAAGGTGAATATTTCTCTTACCTGGCCAACAATGTGAATCCAAAAACGATGCTTTTTTCTAACTTCCAATATCTTCGATACCATATCGTTTTGACCAAGAATAGTTGAACCAACTACAGCTACTACTAGTAGTGGCCTACGTCCTGCAGCCACATCATCATTCAGTATACGTTCAAATGCATGGTGATCCTGAACAATTATACTAATTTCAATTCATATTTTATTAAAAGAAAAAATATGAAAACTAACTATTCGTCCTTCAATCTCACTCATATCACCGCTGAGTTTTGGCAAAAGGACCACATCAGCAATACCGAATTCGGAGGCTATATATGGTGCAAGATCCATATGAAGTGCCGGTGTCACATAAACTACAGGTGCACCCTACAACTGTCATCTATTATTGGTAAATATGTTAAGCAGTACGGGTAACCTATCAATTCGTTCACAGTCGCTAAAAATGGATGGAGTTCTCGGCGCTGATCAATCCCTGAGGAATGCGCCATGCGTTCGACTCCATTGAGTATCGTTGGAGGTGATTGATTGCATATCTGGATTATACAATGACTCGCGGTGGCTTACCAATGTATCGGGCCAGTGCTACTATCCTCTCAGACAGGTCCGGTACCAATTTACCGACTCCGGGAGGATGGATGGCTGGGTGAGCTCGGGGCGTAGGGGTCGATCCCATGTATATTGCAGGGCGTCTCTGACACTACGCTATACACGTCCCTCCACCACAGTCTCTTACCAATCAGTCTCAAAGTACAACTTGATATAAAAAGTGATATTCTGAATTTTATTTTCTTAGTCAGTGGGAAATATTATCAGTAGTTGAAAGATTTGTGCCCTACAACAGGTCAATTGTTGACCTTGGACGCTGAATCCCCGGATATTGATTGCTTATGAATGTGCGTCAATCATTACATTCACTTTACTACGCTTTATCTAAAACACTTCTAAACCATGTTTTAGACTAGAATTTATGCCCACTCCAACTGAAATGACAGTAAACCACGTAAATCGTTAAAATTACGTCGATAGGGTTTCTAACCGTCGAGCACTCGTAATTGCTGTACTAGGCTTTTTCCGTTGACCTCGTTCGAATATACTAGACTACTTCCAAAAAATTTGTTTTCTAGGTGAAACCTTACTTTAATTCTATGTTTATTTGTTTTCATTAAATCGATTTGTATTTTTAAAATGTACATGACTTTAAATTGTAATACTGCTTCTATAGTGGCTCGTGTAGCGCGGTGGTCGGAGTCACCCTGTAATACACATGGGATCGATTCCCGCCCCCAAGGCTCACCAAGCCATCCATCCCTGAGGTCATCAGTTGCTTCCAGGCTTGTCTGGGAGCATAGCAGCACTGGGTCGATACATCGGTAGGCCACCGTGATTCACTGTAAAGGCCAGATATGCATTCAATCACTTCCGAACGACGCTTAATGAAGTCCAATGCATGACGCATCCCTCAGGGATTGATCAACACCGAGAGCTTTACCCTTTATTATTCTTTTAATATGGTTTCCATAATAATTTGAAGCTATGAACTATTTCATTAGTAGACTTTATACGATTAATTTCTGTTATACTTTGATGTGCATAAGACAGAACAGAACGATAAAATACGAGTACTATTCTGAAATCTGAAAGTGATTATTCACCTTTTCCACGAAAGCTTTCCAGCCTTTTGTTACGTAGTCATTCCCGTAAGTGTCCTTGAGTGCCAAACGGATGGCATGTCCTAAAAAAGCTCCCTATATTCTAATAAACCACGAAAATACGAATAAGGAAAAATCAATACCTCACCTATTCCATTCCTAACAGATAATGCCAATGTTGCCTCTGGTTCCGAACAATGAATATTCGATTCAGGAAATCTAGGGACAGTAAAGAAGAATTCCTTTAGCACGTTAGCAAATCAAAATGTTTCTTAAAAGACTTTTAACTGTACTAAGTTATAGGTATAGAGAAGTAGAATTCTAGCAGATGGAGTAGAATGGATAAGGTGAAATCTAGAGAAATATTCAACAGAAGACTGAAAAATGGGATGGTGATTTCCGTTTAAGAGAAGATAAGTTGATAATACCTGAACTGTTGACTGAGCGCTTGACTCGTATTTCCATATAGCCATGAGGCGATACTTTGTCTGTGATGACTGGTCAACAGATCAATGTACGTTTTCAGAGAAGACGTTGTGACCAATGTCCTCCCGAGATCCGATAAACGTTGACTTTCGCGAGAACTAAATCCACACAACAACTCGTTTTTAATTCAGTAATACCTTCATAATACAAACATACATAAGTTAAATGCGTATGTAACGAAGTGGTCAGGGGCGCCCTGCAATACACATGGGATCGGCCCCTGCGTCCCAGGGCCACCAACCCCTACATCTCTCTGGGGTCGACAAATTTGTACTAGACTTGTCTGGGAGGATAGCAGCATTGACTCGATAGATCGGTAGACTACCGCGAGTCACTGTATAGGCCAGGTATGCATTCAATCACTTTCAGCGATGCTTATTGAAGTCGAATGCATAGTGCATCCATCAGGGATTAGTCAACGCCGAGAGCTTTTTCTTCTATCCTTTTTATAGATTAAACGCACGCACAGCAAACAATGTATGTGTGACAGCAAGCAGCCGTTAGTTAGAGGACCTTGTAATACAAAAATGGCTAGCAGGATTGATTTATCCTGTTGATTGAACCCCGCAGATTAATAAAATTGATATAAAACTTCTAGGAGAATAGAACACTAATTTTTTAGCAAAGCTATAAAAATCATTGTATAGGCGAATTATGCAGTCAGTTATCTCTACGACGTTTAGAGTTTCTTAGATAGAACCGCCCTTCCCATAACTAACGAGTGTTTTAGAACAATATAGGCTCACAGAAGATACTTTGATGTAACCCATTAGTTGCCTTTGTAATTTTTATAAGTGCCCTTTTAAATTGAAATATGTTTAGGATTGGGACTTTCAAAAGAATGAAAAAGAAAATTTCGATTCGTGAGGTGTCCAACGAAAAGCGCCAGTTGCAGACATAAACGATATATTGAGGAAGAGCGTCGTGTTGTTCTTGACGAAATCCCTCTTATTGTTTTGCCTTGGTGTTCGAGACAAGAGTGTTGAAGCAATAACAGGCAAGAAAAAATGCCGTGGGCTCCAGAAAATCAAGATTTGATCTCAGCAAAACAAGACGATATTTACCCTGCAGGAGAAGATTTGTAGAAGCTAGTATTTTTTCTTCCAACTAGTAAGAATTCCCAATAGCTGAAATTATTGCTTTAAAGTTGAAAGCTGCCGCTATTTTTGCATCGTATGACTTCCATTGAGGTCACGTCGCTGGTGGTAAACGATGGATTCGGATGCATGTTGCATCATCTCTAACAGATTCGTCAACATCGGATCCTTTATCCTTTATGTGCGACACAATAGAACCCGTTCATATTAGAGAACTCGAATCGGCTAGTTATGAGGATACGGACTGTCAGGCGATAGATAGTGGGTTAAACACGGAACAACTGCAACCCTCTCGTTGTCCTCAGACACTGCAGGACTGAATTGTATCATTTGTATACACGTGACTACACTCCACCTTATACTGCGACTGAAATCTAGAAGATGGTTAGAAGTTTGCAATGGGGTGAATAGGAAGAACAATGGAGGTAGGTTAGGTCGCCTTCGAGGATCATAGTTAAAGTTAACTTCCAGAAAGAACAACATGCTATAGTATGCCTAATTTCCCAATGCAGAAGAGTTCAACGAGGCGTCTTGGGTACTCTGTTGCCGAAAATAATAAAAATAAAAGGTGCTATGTAAAAGGTGTTCTTGGTGTCCCTTGAGAGAGTGGAACCTAATGAGCATCACTGACGCGCAACGAGAACGAATAGGTACTGCTTTAGGGCCCTCTCTAATCACTTGACGAATAGTGGAACGGTGTTTCGTAAATTGCAACCCACCGGTGTTCACTTATATAACTAAGAATCTTGAGTGATAAAAAAAGCAAAACATGAAATTTTTATGGCTTCGTCGGTGATAAATGATCAGGTAGATACAAGGAAATATCTTGAAGTATAGGAACTAAGTACGAGAAAATCACGATAGCGCAGTGGGACAACAAAACGAGTCGACAAAGTAAACATTGAGATGTAGGTTTTTCCTCATCTATTACAAAAAAGGCTGCTTCTTTAGTGTTTTAGTGTGTGTGTCTTTGTATGAGATATTGAAATGATGACCGTAATAAAAGAAAAAATCTGGTGGAATTAGCAACAGGGTAACAATAACAACAAAATACAACCACAACGTTGCTGAGATATTTGCAAAACGCTGGACCGCAGGTGTCTATGGTAGGGAACGAACGCGCTATTGTCCTTTCCGGGGAGTAACGCGCTCACCACCACACTATGCGGGTCCTTCGTTTCGTCTGTTTCTCAGCTATTTCTATCGATATTTTTGCCGCAGCAATCACCCGTCAGCGGGGTTGATCTGGGGAGCGCAAATCGGCATAGAACCCAGTTAAGCTTTGGCTGCAGTTGAAATCACAATGTTTAACGTTTTGTTTTCTGCCTTCTATAATTTTCATGGCAGGTTACTAAGCGAAATACTCCCCGGAAAGGACAATAGCGCGTTCGTTCCCCACCATAGACACCTGCGGTCCAGCGTTTTGCAAATATCTCAGCAACGTTGTGGTTGTATTTCGCTTAGTAACCTGCCATGAAAATTATAGAAGGCAGAAAACAAAACGTTAAACATAATAACAACATAGTTTTTTTTCTTTGAAGCGATGGAGGTTTAATATCCTTCTTTTGAAAGAGAAAAAAAAAGCAAACGACATGACCAACTAGGGAAATCTTGGTCACTTCGACGGCCCGTTTGTTTGGAGCGATAAAGGCATAACATCCTTTTTTGAGAGAGAAACGAAAACAAATGGCATGACCAACTATAGGAAGCTTGGACACTTGGATACTTCGATGGCCCGTCCTCACTGGTTGTTCTGGTCTCAGCGCAACCTTTATTTTTTAGAATTTAGCTAGAATAGCCATTGTGGCTTCCTAGGGTCCCGAGGTCAGCCTGGTGAAAGTATGCCTCAGCCCATCACCACTACAGGTAGTCGCCTACCTCGTGGTTCAGAGGAGGATTTGCCACCACGCGACAAGTCTGATACCAGGACAGTGGTGGATCCTGGTATTATTTATTATGTTTATTCATAGCTAGGCATCCTGACGGAAACGCCGGACTCTTTCTCAACCTGCGAGACCCTGCCGCCCGGATGAATAGCCCGGCTGTACATCGCAGTCTGACACCCAGGGACACCTCGTAGCCACGATGAGGCGGTAAACCGTTGGGAGGAACTAAGGAAAGTACTGAAAACAATTCTGCAAGACCAGTGAGTAAAATTTTTGAAAAAGTATAGTGTCTCAATATAGAGACAAATATAAAAATTCAGCGATATAATGGACACACCGTGTTTTTGCGAGTTGTGGGTGTCCGGTAGGTTGTATGTCCCTGTTAATCCATTCGTCTGAGATGATTAATTGTTGTAGTTGTTCCAGAACTGGTGACATATTGTACTGTGATGTATGAGACGTCTTTCGTGACAATGGTTTACCCTTAATCAGTTCTATTTGAAATTATCATCGTAATATTTTTGCATAAAAATTTGCACCCCACTACTAGTTCTACATTGGCGATTACTTCACACTATATAGGATTTGTATGAAAGCATTATGTTAAGGAAGAAAGACCGCAATGATGATCGCATCGGTTTAAGGTTTTAAACGAGTTGAATCAATGCAGTATCTGTTTATAAAAAACTTAACTAACAGTGAACTAATTAATGTTATTTAGTCTTTTGTAGTACTTAGTGCATACTTATTATGGCAATTTTACTTTTCGATGAATCGCCGCTAGCGCTGACTTTGTTCTGGATGGTAATCATAATAAATAATGTATTCATACTACTTAATATATATCGACCATAGCCACTACTACTAAACTGCTATCCGCCTATAGGAGTGCTGTCAGTCAAGCACTTTGAGCGCTTTTAACAGCATTGACATAAAGATGACATCATATTATATATCGACATAAACTTTAAAGATTACCTTCAAGACAGCAAATTTTAGCATAGAAGCTTCTTTTTCGTAACGGAGCACAGTTATGTAAAATACAACCACAACTATGCTGAGATATAAGCAGCACTCGGAGGAACCTCAAGTGGAGTTCGAGCCCGCGATAACTTTTGGCGGGGACACCTGTGCTATCCACAGCACCAAGCGCAGGTTTGGGCCCACTTGCTCTTCCGAGTTCTGCTCATTTCTCAGTAACCTCATGGCTGTATTTCACATAGTGCCCTTCAAAAAAGAATGAATAGTAATAAAAATAAATTAACAGCACGATTATATACTTTGAATAATTACATTATATCTTCCATCTATAATGAGAGAGAAGAAGAGAAATTGTAGGCTGAATGAATAAATCATGCTACACCAACAATTAGACTACTGATTGGTAGTAACTAATAATAAAATGTATTCACTGATGATAAATGCTTCGTCGATCCATCTTCGACACCGCTATCTTGGGATTTTGTTGAGGACGTTTGCGAACCAGGACTATGTTGCAACTGTTGGTCGATTCTGCTGAAATTGTAAATCTGTGCGTGATCTTACAAATATTTCATTACATTCGCTAGATATAGAACAAAGCATTCCTGTTGGATCAAAGAAAGAGAAGGAAAAAAGCTGAAGCATTTTTTTCTCTGTAAAGTTGTTAAGCTGAGTGACACAGTTTTATGATGGCCTTCTTATACCTCTCCCTCTGTACCTCTGTACCTCCCTTGAAAGTCAGATTCTTTTAAAATAGGTCTATATTGGAGCCTCAACCCAAATAATATAAGGATTTATACTTACATTGATTTCATGAGAGCACTGAACAGACATAAAAGAAGCCAAATGCTGAAGTTTAAAGGCCGCGACGAACGTAATCGGAAATTCATGGCCTCTGAATTTGCGCCGGTTGAACATATCCCGAGGGACGACAGCCGCCCTCACCCTATATCTCGACCAACACTAACTAACTTATATCGCCACATTTTTCAACTTAGTCAAAAATTGATGGCTTAGGCAGAACAAAAAAAAGAGAAGCGTTCGAATTTCAAAGCGCCAGCAAAAAGCCTGTCTTGTTTGCAGAAATTTTTAAGCAACGTCAAATTCCAGTTAAGAAATGGAAATGGCTTCGCTTCGAAATCTCGGCG